ACTGACAAGTGACACACTTTCACAAGTAAAGATCTTGGTTGAACGCGAATTGACTGACTTAAAGTCGCCACCCCGCCGCTACCCCCGTTAGCTTTACCGGGATAAACGTTGTCGAAGCAACGTGTGCACATTGCCACCATAGAGGACACAAGGAAGCAGGAAATCGAAAAAAAGCAGTGTGTGTATATAAAGCTTGTCCAGGCTACATGTACTGTGGAAGTCTTGACAAGCACCACGTTTCCCAGGAAGAATGCTACCAGTTCACGATAATGTGATCTGTTTTTTTCGAAACACCACTCTGTCGACTGATCTCGGAATTTTATTTATTTATTAACACACAACATCCCCCGGAGGGGATGAAAAGGGTTACAAATCAGATATTAGTAAAAGAAAAATAACTACACAAAAAGTAAGGGAACAAAAAAGCATTAAAAAAAGATAAAAATTTGTATACAAGGAATGTGTTACTGGCTTAGTTTATGTAGGTGCTGCTGTCTTGTATTAAAACAGTTTTTTAAATATTGAATAAGACATTGCTCCCAAATAAAGCTGAACTACCTACCTCTCTTATTACAGCGGGTTTTTCCACACCTTGCTTATCCATTGCAACGACCTATAATAGTTGCCTCGATACTGACATGAAACTCAACTGACGGAAGTTTTAAATTTTAGTAGCGTCGCCATGGTGTCTATCGAAATGAACAAGCCTTGCTACATTTTAATTTTGTTGTTGTTGACCTGTCAATCACGCCTTTGATAATTACCGGGTTGTTGCCAACATTTTGAACAGATGAAGTAAATTTCAAAACAAACTGCCTGACCAATTGTAACGACTTATCAACATCTGACTGCAGTTCTTTGTGTAATTAAGGGGTGAAAGGGGTGTAAACTATTACTCGTATTTCCCCTCTCGCTACCTTAAGCAGTTTTGAAGACCATCATCTGCAGTTTCTGAATATGTTGCTAAATAACCTTACCTGCCACATGAACCTGCTTCTGAACTAAGATATCCATGTTGTCGTCTTTGCCATTTATAACTAGAATCAGTAAAATAGACTATTCCATCTTTTTGTAAGTCAAGGTCATTACCCAATTTCATTTTTTTTTTCTCAACCACTGTATTTGATGACACCAGTTGGATGACATCCCCTGAAAGTTTAAATATGAGGCTGTGTGATTACTTTAAAAGGTACTACATAAATTCAAATTTTTACAAATTTGTGTTGATTAAGTTGATATCATTTTTCCTGCCAAAGTTGGGCTCTCTCTATAATTCAAATTTAATTTTAAAACAAAAGAGAAATATAATATTGCTAAAAGATTATCTTTCATGTTGTAATTCTTAAATTAACAAGTCATTGTTAATGACACAGTCCCTGTCCAAAATGTTGTGCTCTGACATATCAATTTGATGCTGATGAAGTCATTGAGATTAGATTGAAACCATTAATAAGAGATGGATTTGTAAAAAAATATGATTTAGTGCTTTTATACGAGAATTGAACATTGGGCAGTCATATTGAATAAAATTACAAAAATAATGTTCAGGTTGATGTTACTACCTAAATTCACTATGTTCAATTACCCACCATAGACTCCGGTCAGTCAAAATGACTACATGTATTTTGAACTGTAGGCAGAGTCAGGCGCCGATAGGTGGCGGGTTTTCCGAGCCAACAGAAACATCATTCGGGATGAAACACTCTACAATAATCACTCAACACCTTAGTTAAGACCCCAAAAAGGGTGGTGTCTTTCCTTGCCTGTGCTGTCGCCGGAGCAAGAAGCCAAATGGCTGCTGTGGTGACAGGGTTCGGTGTGCCCGAGAAAGTTAGACCCAGACCCAAACCCAATTCAGGAGGTAGCATGTTCTGCATGAGGGCATAGGCCACAAAGCAGGACCTGGGAGCTTCCAGGGAGCGCTGATGGTAAAGAAATCTGTCCGCAGAAATGCTGAGACTTTGGTTCTTGGCGAGAAACCTGATTCATGTCTTTAGTACAACGCCCATAAAGGTCGTGCACAAGTCCAAGAAAGACAGTTCCACGTAAAAAATTTGAGTGGTGCTGAATGGAGAGGCTCCAAGGGTGGTCTGCTTAGAGCGGACAACAACAACAGATAAATCCTAGTTGGACGGTTCCCTGCGTCTCTGCGTCTAGAAAGCAGTAAATAGTCTCCTAATAATCGGACAATCGTCTAGTCTAGTCGAAACGTTCTCAATGGTGGGAAACAAGGCCGACCTGTAGTCAACGATCGCTGCGTAGGACAAACCTACTTCGTCAAACAGGTGGACGAAGGACTCTTCTAGCTGGCCAATAAAGGGATGGTACGGATCAATCTCCCTTCCGCTACACCAGTCAGTGTATGCTCACAACCTAGAAATGTAGGCTGCGTTGGTGGAATCCCTGTTTGCCCTGGCCAGGACGTTGGCAGCCCGCTCAGATAAAGCTTTCATATGTGCGGGTCTAATGAGAGCCTCTATGCGGGTAAGTGATACCTGCTGGGCTCATAGGTAGTGCGCTGTCCGGTTGAGACAGCAGGTCCGGCAAGTCCAGAAGCACTACTGGTGTTTCGACTAGCATTTCCAGCAGTAGTGGCAACTAGGCCCTGGTTGGCCCATTGGGTGCAACCAATTACAATATGCAGGTGTGCTAGTGGGAAAGGAGGAAAAGGCGTGCACAACTAAGTGGGTCCACGGGGTTAGCAAAGTGACCCTGACCCAGGCTCCTGGAGTCGACAGGAGTGTTATGTACGTCAGGAGTTTGGCGTTCCGAGGTGCGGGAAACCAGTCCAGTTTTTGGACCGTCTCACAGCCGAAACAGCCTGGAGGCTACCCACTGGTATCAGCCACTCCGTGTTCTGGAGACAGAGCCGTCCTGAAAGGGCGTCGCCAGACTTTTTCTCACCCCTGGAAGGTGGTGTGCAGTTAGCTCCACATTGTATTCCAGGCATCAAAGGAGAATTTGACAGCGATAGGGAACGCGTCCCCCCCCTCCTTCTTGAAGGAGACCACTGCTATGTTGCCTGTGTGAAGCAGGACTCTGTAGTCTCGGACTATGGGTAGAAAGTGTGGTAGTGCTAAGTGCACTGCTTTCAGTTCGGTGGTCCTGAAACCAATGCGGGGGCTATATCCTTGGGCTTGTTCGTCCAATAGGTGCGCTCCCCAACCTTAGAGGGAAGCAACTGTTACCAGAGTCATACCTGCGGCAAGTGGGTCCAAGGGGGCCCCCTGTCAGAGGTCGGCCAGTGACAATCACCAGGGCAGGGCTTATCTCATAGGAGAGCTTGACGTTGTAACAACAAGCGTTGTACCGAGCGACTGCGTAGTGCGGCCTGGTGAACCACCCTTTGAATCAAGGTCATCATTCCAATGATCCACATTAGTTCTCAAAGGGACACTGAGGGAACGCTGACTAGGTAGAGATGGGACTTGTCTATTTACTAAAGAGCCCAACTGGTGAAGTAAATCCTGTGTTAGCCTGACGTGTTTGGCTAATAACCCCTTGAATTGGTTGTGTAGTAACCAGTCGTCTACGGATTGAGGTGTACCGACATTTGGTGAAGCAGCAGCACTACCTGTTTTATCACTCTGGTGAGCACGTAGGGCGCTGGGCACCCGGAATTTGAATACCTGGCCCAGCTGGGCCATTTGGAGATGGCAACTCACTGGGTACATCGGTATGTGCAGGTAGGCCTCGCTTAAGTCTAGTGGGGCTAGCCAGTCGAAACGGTGGATGGAGAGAAGAACGCTGAATGGCGTCTCCATGCAGAACCAATCGAGGAGCACATACTGATTGGCGCCCTTTTCCAGCAAACTGCTACTTCCTGCCTGATTGCTTCCATCTTGCGGGAGTCCCCTGGCAGTGCCCAATAGGGGAGACACTGACAGGGGAGATGGAGATTAAAGCGGTATCCTGTAACAGAATGTCACCACCTGGAAAGATCCAGGGATCGGTCACCCACTGTCTCCAAACTGGACTACACTGGCGCAATCTGTGTACGACAGGGATATGTGCTCTCTTCTCCCATGAGGTGAGTTTTCCCAAGGCCTGAACTAAGTTGTGACCTGGCCACTCGGCGAACACATGTCTGTCCTCCCCAACACGCTTCCCCCGCTGCCCGGGTGGACGACCGCCCGAGGACGGTGAGGAACCACCACGTGGCCCTTTCCTCCCTGGGGGCACGCCGTTACTGTTCCCTCCCGTGAAAGGGTATGAGCGCTTGCCTCCTGGCCGACTCTGGCTAGCAAACGACGCCCTAGGGCATTGTGTTTTCTGTGCTTGGGGTGCCCTCCGCTTAACCTTGGCAGGGCCAACTGGCTAGCGGATTCGATCTGAACCCTCTGGTTTATTGCACTCTGAAGCTCTGAGACTGTACCCACCATTCCCCGAACAAAGAGGGTGGAAGATGTCCAGTCTGCGTCACTGAGGTGGGGAGGTACCTCTGACTCAGTTTGCCAGCGAAAACATGTGCGTCTAAGGCCGCGTCTCGTTGCACAGTAGTGGCCCGGCCACGAGAGCCTGGTGACACTAGGGGATGTCGCATGTAGATGTGCAGTGGCCCGCCAGTAAAAGGGTCGCCTGGTCTAGGAGGCTGGTGCGTTATGCCTCCAAGGTCTCAGAGTCCTGGGTGCGCACAATAATGTGCTCAAGCAACTCTGCCCTCAGGGTGTGATGGATCGTTTCAGATTGAGCTGGCGAGAACGCCCATGGAACGCGGCTGTCCCCCATAACCCGGTGTGCCAAGCGGAAATTCATTGGGGGTGTTTTGGTCTCATCCCACACTTTGGGGTCTGATCCCAAAACCACACCGACCGGGTAGCGTTTGGTCCAGCGGAAAGTGTTGCATAAAATTTTTCCCCACCCGCTGGCCTTAAACGTTACCTCCTCCACGTTACATCGGCCATCAACACTGTTTGCGCTCCATGCACCCCACTCGAACGGACAGGGAGAGACGTGCTGTCGGGGTTGCTTTGGATCCCAGCACCCGTGATCCCATAGGATCAAGGGTGGGGGTATTTACATCGTACCGTTACCATTGTACCATTACCACGCAACGAAACCTGGCTGGCTGAAAGTAGGGGGATGCACCCCCGTTGGCATTCAGTGCCCGAGGCCCCAGCGGAGACCCGGTGCAACTAGCTTGAGCCTCAGCCTCATCCAAATCAGTGGGAGAGCAGCGGGTGGGAAAGGGGGGGTTCCCCGGAAGAGAAATGTTTGAATGCAAACAATGCTTTTGTGTTTCTTCTTGCTTGCCCACTGAGTGGAGACAGCTCGCTTTGACTGCGTCTGATCTACCTGGCCTGCCAGGGACGCAATTTGCTCTGACAGTCCTTTGACCAAAGCCCTCAACTCGAAGGCAAACTCGGCGCCATGCGAGAAAGGGTTCACAAAAAGCATATCGGATGTGGGTTCTATGCTGGTAAATTCTGAATATAACCACTGCAAAGTTGACTCGAAAACAAAGAGACCAAAAAAACAAGCAGCCTGTCGGCTGAGATAGCTCCGCTGTTAAGCAATGCACATGGCAATTAAAGAACAGAAGATATCATTAGAAAATGAACAAATCTGAGAGAGGTCCACATGTAGTACCTATATGTATAATATATCAAAGCAATTGGACTTGCAGTTTTCAACAAGAAGTCGAAGATATCACTTTTTACCAAAAATTACAAAAATATTCATCAAAATTAGAGAATTAAAGATATCATCATGAAATGAACAAATCTGAGAAAGGTTCACATGTAGTACCTATATATGTAATATCAAAGCAATTGGACTTGCAGTTTTCAACAAGAAGTCGAAAATATCACTTTTTACCAAAAATGACAATGATATTTTTCAGTTATCCATAGTTGACAGATGCAATGACAGATCTACTACCAAACAAGCAGCCTCTCGGCTGAGATAGCTCCGCTGTTAGCAATGCACATTTCAATTAAAGAACAGAAGATATCATTAGAAAATGAACAATACGTATAGTATCAATGCAATGGGACTTGCTGTTTTCAACAAGAATTCAAAAATATCATTTTTCACCATAAATGATTGTGGTTTTTTAACAAGAAGAAAATATCACTTTTTACCAAAAATGACAAAAATATTCACCAAAATTAGATAATTAAAGATATCATTACAAAATGAACAAATCTGAGAGAGGTCCACATGTAGTACCTATATATGTAATATCAAAGCAATTGGACTTGCGGTTTTTAACAAGAAGTTGAAAATATCACTTTTTACCAAAAATGACAAAAATATTCATCAAAATTAGAGAATTAAAGATATCATTACAAAATGAACAAATCTGAGAGAGGTCCACATGTAGTACCTATATATGTAATATCAAAGCAATTGGACTTGCGGTTTTTAACAAGAAGTTGAAAATATCACTTTTTACCAAAAATGACAAAAATATTCACCAAAATTAGAGAATTGAAGATATCATCATGAAATGAACAAATCTGAGAGAGGTCTACCCAAGGTACATATACACCAAGTATCAAAGCATTCAGGCTTGTAGTTTTCAAGAAGAAGTCGAAAAAGTAAAACATTGACACGGACGACGACGGACAATCACTCATATAATAAGCTCCGCTCGACAAAGTCGACAGCGGAGCTAAAAACAGCAGCTAGTCCTGGTGCTGTCATTACATCTATTCATTTCTAAATACGTAGATTAAGCATAAAATGAAGACGACATGCATGAGGGAAACGAATTACAGTAGGAAAAGGTAACGTAACAAAATCAACAAGTGATTTGGCTACAACGCCCGGGTTTTATTTCTTTGTTGTGAAAAATGCTACACACAAAGAGAAAAACGACATGAGGGTAAAAATGACAAGAAAAACTTATCCTACCAGCTACAATGTAGGATGTCGCGCCAGCGGCAATAACCCTAGCTAGAAACATGGACAGGAAACAGCAAGCGATCCAGGCAGAGCTCGCTACACTTCATCTCCACTTGAGGCGGAGAAAAATCAGAGTTGATATCCAGGCGTAATGGCGCCGCCATATGTGCTCGGTCACGTGGTTCGTGATGTAAGGGAAAAGAATCTTGGGGTCATGGGGCTTCCCCTGACCTAGTAGCATGGATACCATTAAAAACAAAATGGCCGCCAGTCGGCCATATTTGTTTGAATCACGGAAAAAGTATGACGTGCACCTATAACCCAATATGTATGATCACCATACCAAGTTTGATTCAAATCGGCCCAGTCATCTCTGAGAAACTGCTGCAGACACATTTAGGTATCAGAAATAGCAAATTTTACATTCAAAATGACCGTCGGTGGGCCATTTTTTCTCCGATAATAAAGTAACTTGACGTACATATGTAAGACATCATGTATTGTCTTCATGTAAAGTTTGAATGAAATCCGTCAATGGGTGTCCGAGACATAGCGAACCCAAATAGTCCCCGTTTTCGGACGTTGTCCGAACAAGGACTAATCAAAGAAAGCTTAGAAAGAACTCCCTTGTGCTGAGAGTATTGAAGACACATTAAAAATTAATTCAAAATTACTTGTACATGAGATATTGATGGAAAAGCTGAAAACTAATTATGTAAATCAGGTAACTAATATGAACAGAACAAAAAAATTATGAATTAGTGTGTTAATTAATTATGTTAATTAGGTGATTAATAAGCATAAATATTTACCAAAAACTAATTGGGTCTCTGCATAGTTCTCTTTAAAAGTTTCATTAAAATCCAATTCGTGGTTCTTTATATATCAGTGAAACATTATGTAAATTAAGTAATTAATATCTAATTAAAACTAATCAGGTCTCTGCATAGTCCGAGAAGATCTATGTAGCAAGTCTCATTGAAATATGATGATCAGTACTTGAGATATCAGGCAAAAAGCTGAAAATTAATTAATTATGCAAATTAACTCTTGAAATAACCAAGTTTTATTGAAATGTGATGATTAGTACTTGAGATATCACTGGAAAAGTCGAAAATTGATTAATTATTATGCAAATTAGATAATTAATATTGCACAGATTTTTACCCAAAACTGCAAATCTGCGCATTAGTTTGGAACATCCATGTGCCAAGTTTCATTGAAATTCAATGAGTGGTTCTTCAAAAATCAGTGGAACAGTCATAGAACAGCTTAAAATCAGTTAATTATCATGCAAATTAGGTAATTAATATTCATATATTTTTACCCAAAACTAATCAAATCTGCGCACTAGTTCAGAGCATCCATGTGCCAAATTTCATCAAAATCCAATTAATGGTTCTTCAGATATCAGTGGAACAGTCTTGAAACAGCTAAAAATCAGCTAATTATCATGCAAATTAGGTAATTAATATTCATAAATTTTTACCAAAACCTAATCAACTCTGCGCATTATCCCAGAGTATCTATTTACCAAGTTTCACCAAAATTTGATTAGTGGTTCTTGAGATAACGGTGGAACAAAAAAAGTGACATACATACATACATACATACAGACAAACAGACAGGGTAACTGCAAAGACTCCCTTTTGTGCTTCGCACACGGGAGTCAAAAATGCATCACACATTTTCCCCATTCCCAAACCAAATCTTAGTCGTGTTGAAACTAATTAACTGCATTACTTTCATTGAACATAATGCAACTTCGATGCATGTCATATATGTGCCAAGTTTCATTAAAATCCAATGAGTGGTTCTTTAGGTATCAGTGGAACAGCTAAAAATCAGCTAATTATCATGCATATTAGGTAATTAATATACATGGACTTTCACCAAAACCTAATCAAATCTGCGCATTGGCCCAGAGCATCTATCCACCAAGTTTCATCACAAATCAATGTACGGTTTTTGACATATCAGTGGAACAGACAGACACACAAACACACAGCCAGACACACTAACTGCAAAGACTCCCTGTTTGTGCTTCGCACACGGGAGTCAAAAATTACTTTAGTACCAATGAAGAGAAATATGGTTATAGATTTGAATAACATCTAATATGGAAATTATGCAATAATTCATTACATGAAGTGAATTTTGAATTACTATCGTATTTATCCCAAACATCACCCACCACAAAACATCGTACATGGGCGATCTTTTGCAATTGCAAGAACAAATAAATACCATAAAACTCTATTATTCAGGTAAAGTAATAATAATTGTTATTTCAAGAGTGTGTATTAAAAGAAGACAAATGGAAATTAATTTGTTATTTTTCAAATTAATTGAATAATTGCTCAAATTAATTGAATAATTGCTCAAATTAATAAGAATAATTTTTGGTTGATAAATACAGTAATTCAATTTTGCTCTAATTTGCACTTGTATCATAATTATAAACAGCTCATTCGATAGATGTATAATAACACAACCTATACCACCTCACCTGTTTTGGGATCTACTTTATATAGGCCTTTATATGCATCTATGACATAGAGTGTACCATTACTGTCCACTCTGATACCCAAGGGCCTTCCACATCTCGGCTCCTCCTCATATTTACCAGCTGAAAATGTACATAATAATGACGAGTCCATTACAAATGGGGGCTGGGAGGGAGGTCATTTGTACCGGTTATTATCATGGCATGTTCAATATGAGTCTAATTCAGTGCATACAAGTACATTACTATAACCCACTACTCAACACAAACTCATCTATTTTCCTTAAAAAATCATATACAATTGTATTTATTGTATGATAGATCATTGAAATATCATTTTTTTAACAATGAAAGACACAGTGCTGTAATTTTACATAAGCGCATGTAGTTTTAATAATAAGTAGAATGTCATAAATGAAAAAAAATCTTCTGAAAATGACAATTCATCAACATTATATTTTAATTGTTACAAAATCAAAAGTTGATACACAATACATACTGCATGGTGGGATGCCAAATGTAGCCAATGTGCTGACAGTTTTCCCAATAATTTTAACCAGTCTACCATCAGTGGTTCCAGTGTACATTACACCTGTAAACAGACAATGTGTAAATATTCACTAACAATAAACAATACCAATCTCTAAGAAAACAAGGAAAAATGAAAGGATTGAAATGGCTAACTAAAAATAAAACAAGCAGCCTATCGGCTGAGATAGCTCCGCTGTTAGAAATGCACATTTCAATTAAAGAACTGAAGACATCATCAGAAAATGAACAATATGTATAGTATCAAAGCAATCGGACTTACAGTTTTTAACAAGAAGTCGAAAATATCACTTTCTACCAAAAATGACCAAAATATTCACCAAAATTAGAGAATTGAAGATATCATCACGAAATGAACAAATCTGAGAAAGGTCTACATGTAGTATCTATATATGTAATATCAAAGCAATTGAACTTTTGGTTTTTAACAAGAAGTCGAAAATATCACTTTTTACCAAATATGACAAAAATATTCACCAAAATTATAGAATCCAAGATATCATCACGAAATGAACAAATCTGAGAAAGGTCTACATGTAGTATCTAAATATGTAATATCAAAGCAATTGAACTATTGGTTTTTAACAAGAAGTCGAAAATATCACTTTTT